ACAGAGAAAGGCGCGGGGGAGGTGTCGCGCATGTGAGCCAGCCCTTGCGGGTGGGTGCCCCAGATTGCGCGGGTGCAAGGCTGGAGCATGTGTGCAGATGTAAGCCGCTCGTGTGCTTGCGTACGCAGCTCGGCGTCACGGCGCCGCGGGCTGACAGTGGCCCAGTCACCTGCGCGATCATGCCGCCCATCGACGCCCTGCGGTTGAGGTGCAGGCGCATTGCTTCGTGTGAGGCATGCATTGCGGCGCGCACATGCCAGGGCTGCATCACGGCCAACATGGGGCTGCGACGCAAAGCAGGCAATGCTCCCACCGCCTTGTCTTTCAAACCAACCAAACCCTGCTGCCCTGCCTAGTGCGCCGCACACAGCCCAGCCCCTCTTGCTCAACGGCCACGACCCGCTGACCAGCACAACATGCGAGCAATGCGCCACGTGCAACAGGGTTGCTGCAGCAGCAGCGTGCGTGGCGGCCCCATGGGCCCCGTGGCGGCCGTGGCCCCCCTCCCCCCCTCACCCGTAGAGGTGCACCGCCTGCTGTGGCCCCCAGACATGGTCCACCAGCGCCAGGGCGTCAGCCGCCAGCAGCGCCGAGGACTGGGGCGTGTCCATGGTACAGGGGCCGGAGGAGGCGACGCCGCGGTGGTGGTAGCACAGCAACTGCAGAGGGGGTGGGGGTGGGGGTGGGGGTTGGGGTGGGGGAGAGGAGAGGGGATTATGTGGGAGCCAGGTGGGAGGGAGGAGCCAGGCGGACGGAGGGGTGCGCACGTAGATACAGGGGGCGCAGTGGTTTCGATCGTGGCTGCAGGGTCGAGTGACAAGGGCCGCGTGGGCTCCGAAGGTTTGGTGAGGGGTTGATTGGCAGGGAGTTGTCGGGCCGTACGCAGCACCCACCAGATGCATCCCGCCAGCTGTGCCCTGCCAACCCGCGAATCAGCAGCACGCCACCCGCGCACCTCGAAACCGTGGTGGTCCCGCAGGTGGGCCGCCACGTCATCGAAGTGCCGGGCCGTGGCAAACGCCCCCCAAATAACAAGGACGCGCCCCGCGGGCGGCGCGGATGCCGCGGCGGGCCCGCCGCCGGCGCCCGCCGGCGAGAAGAGCCACCAGGCGAGGTTGCAGCGGGAGCCGTCCGGCAGGGCCAGGGTGCCGCAGCGGTCGGGGGCGTGGGAGACGGAGGGGTCCATGCAGGGCTCGTGGTGCGCATGGTGGCTGGCGGGCGCCATGACGGATGTGGTGCGCTGGGAGGGTGGTGCAAGCAATAGGGTGGCCCTGAATTAGCTGAGGTTGGGTGATGCAGCGAGCAGACCGGCAGCGGCGACCTGGAGAGCACTAGCGGAGTGCTCCGCAAGCATGCAGGCCTCAGCAGGCTGATGGCGCTGGATGATACCGAAGAAAGTGCGGTGAACGGGGCTCAAGGAAAGAACTTACGCCGGCACACTGAGCGCGGTGCAAAATGAAGTGTGCTGCGAGAGATCCCCGAGCTCCGTCGACGTGCAGAGGAGCAGATCCTGTCACACGGAGCTGCCTAAGCTGATTCATATGGGCTAACAACCAACATACACGCCTTGCAGTGGGCTACTTGTGGCTGATATGATCAAATGATCTCGGGTGACAATTCGGTGGCGCGCGGTGTGACTTACAATCCGCATCTGGCGCGATTTTGGATGACGATCGTGCTTACATTGCAAGTGGTCATATTTACCTTGGAAAACGCATACCCTTAGGAGTGCGCATACGTAGATCCACTCGAGCACGCCCAATCCGTGTTGACGTATCTTTGATTAAATAACAGAGAATGCATTAAAACATATATCGTACATCAGTTGGCAGGTAGCGGCCAGGCGGCACGCCACCATCATTTACCGCCGCTGCAGCAGCTGAGCTTGTGCTGGTGCTGCCGCACTGCGCCGCGGCGGCCGACGTCCCTTGCTGTGATGGACGTCAGCGGGGCGACCAACCGGCTTCACCAGATTCTTCTGACGTGGGACTACTTCCGGCTGTGGGACCGGCAAGAGCAGGGGCTGGGCGTTTATGACAGCTTGAGGGCCGTCCCCGACACGTTCGACTCAATCCAGGTGCGGCGAAGCAATGGCGTCCACGCCAGCAGCTGTGCTGCTGTAGCAATTGCGCGCAGCACATACCCTGTAGTCTTGCTTGTAGCCAGGCTCCATGCTGCGGGGCCGTCGCTCCTAGTCTCTTTTGCTGCTGGTCGTACGTTTTGGGGGCGGCGGCGGCGCCCCGTCGCGGCCGCTGTGCAGCTGCGCCGACGCGGCCGCACCGGCCCATGCCACTGCTCTACTTGTCCTGTCTCTGGACCTCCATTTGCCCGCGCCTGCAAAGGACTATGTCGCTGTGTTTGAGCAGCTTGTGTTGGAGGAGGCGGGCGCCCTGGTGCTGAGGGGTGTGGAGGAGGGCGAGGTGCTGGAGCCACACCCCACCATCGCGGCACGGTCGCACAAGGTGCGGCGGGGCAGGCTTGTGTATGCTGAATGAAGACGATGGGACACATTTTGCCGTACGGCTGTTGGTCAGGCTCTTTGGGAAGGGAGCCACAGCAGCGGCAGCGGCGGCGGCAGTGGCGGCGGCATCGGTGGCGGCGGTTCCCGCGGGGACGAAAACGAAGGCGAAAGCGTGCAAGCAGTGCTGTGGCCATGCACCCTGCTGGGTCCCACAAGATTGCACCTCTCGCAGCTGCCGCTCTGCAGCCACCTCCCTCCCCCCCTCAACACCCCCCCAACACGCTCCCTCCGCCTGCTCCCCAAGGCTGGTCAGTTCCTGGTGGTTACAGTCTGTGTGGACGAGGAAGTGGGGCGCAGAATATCTGACAACGACCTGGTGATGTTATCCAAGGTGCGGGCTGTGGGGACACAGGGCACACGGAGGGTTCAAGAGTGTGGGCCGGCATGTCCCAACATCATGTTGGCGTCATGGTTGTGGCAACAGAGTACCGATCGAATCGGGTTGGGTGCAGCATTACTTCTGGCACCGTTTTGATCGGCAGGAGTAGCCCTCTCTCCGCCCCTACCCCCTTGAAGCTGCCCCCCCTGCACAGGGTTGGCCCTGCACGCCCCGCTAGAACCCCGTATCGGCTCCGCACTCTCCCCTGCCACCGCGACCCGCTGCATTTTGAATGCCCAAGCCCACACCTCCTGTTGCCCCTCACCCCACCCCGGCAGGACAACCCCGAGCAGGAGTCTGCGCGGCGGCAGCTGCACGTTCTGGCCCACGTTGAGGGCCACGAGGGCCCCACCCTGCTGCGCTGCAAGACACTGGTGGACGACGCCAGCCAGGCCGGCAGCAAAGACGGCCTGGAGCGGTGAGCGGGGCTGGGTGGGGCCGCGCGTGGATCATGAGCGCAGGGCTCGGTGGTTGCGCATGCGTTGGTGTTGATGCTGCTTTGATGGAGGCGTGTGTGTATGGGTGTGTGTGTGAGAGAGCACGCGTGTGTGCGTGTGTAGTAAAGGCTAGAAATACCAGAAGGTCGTCAGCAGTGTCGATCGGATGCGACGGCGTGACGGGAAAACAATGCGTGCGGACGTGATGAGCCGGCTCGTGCCCCGTACACACGCCAACGCTGCAGCGCCTACCCCGCTTCAACCTGCTGTGGCGTCCTGCGCACCACCCCTCCACCCCCAACCCATGCC